AAATGTTTTAATTGTGTACCAGTTTAACATTGAATATTATTTATGATTTTAAAGTCTTATTAGTCTAGTCACCCATTTCTTCACAAACGTCTACATTCAAGATGAAGATAATAGCTACCACAAGGTTTCCTGTAAAGCTTCAATTGATTTGTATATTATCTTATCCGTATCTTATCACTTCCCTTGCTACAGTTTGTAATTCTGTACAAGGGCATTTCCTACTTTCTAAACGTAGAAAAAACTTAAATATTAACTAATGCAATTTCATTGAGAAATGTTGGACCGGACATGGCCTAGTTGTTGACGTGTCAAGCTGCGGGTCGAAAGATTCGGGGTTCAAGATGTAATGCTGCTGAACATGCACCACACTTTCAATTGTGGACACGTTATAAAAAATGACAACCAATCTCGTTACTTGATTCAAAAAGCTGGAGAACTCTTTGTGGCGGCGGTTACTACTGGCTTACTGCTTTCGCTCTGGTTAATAATCCAAAGTTGGGGACAGTTATGCCTGATTCGTAGGAATCTCTAATCTTGCCGCTTTACCCACGTGCGCATACATTGCCGTGCAGATTGAAAACTTTTAGTTCCATTCCATATCCGAGAAAGTTGGCATATAACCTCAAATAAAACAAGTGAACAAAGAAATCTCACCAAACAAAAGTATAAATTTGACGTAGAAAAGATTATAATAATTAAAGATCAAGCAGAGAAAAAAATGCTCGATTGGGTAATGGATGAGATAATAACATAGATATATAACAATCAGATGTAAGAATCAATACTGAATGTTAATATAAGTATAGAGTTATGAGACAGTGAGTAAAATCTGAGCCATTGTAATAAGAACGTGAGATAGCTGTCAAGGTTTTAAAACGCTACGGTGAATGTATTAAAAACTATAATAAAACTAGCAAACGTTCCCGCTTCACTCGCGACTATGTTTCGTTGGCATGGAAAACAAGAAAATTAGTATCTCCTTTTGAGGGAATAAAATTCCCCAAGAAATATAATTTCTTTTATTCTGAAAAGTTTTCACTTTCACAGAAAAATATACAATTGTTGAAATAGGTACTAAGGCAGGAGCTAAAGAAAAATTTAAATAAGTCACCGAATTGGTAAAAAATGAAAAACTGAATAAAGGTCTACACAGTCGTCAGTGAATTGGATTATTAGAATGATAAATAAATCATTAACATTCATTTCTCGATGTAGCTTTGAGAAAATGCTAATAAATGTAGACTTAGCCCATAACAGTCTCGTAAAATATTGTTGCGAGAGGGAAAGGCACGCGACGCTTGGAGCATGCGCGCAGGAGTTTCTCGAAGGATCAT